TTTGTTGTCATATCTATGAAACTGTAGCCTACTAAGGTCATGAAGATTTATAACTATATTTTTTTCAAGTGTTTTAGTTTTTACATTTAGGTCTTTGATCCATCTTAATCTAATTTTTGCATATGGTGTGGGGTAGGGATCCAAATTCAGTCATACATGTGTATGTCCAGTTGTCTCACCATCATTTATTGAAAACCTATTCTTTTCCCATAGAATGGCCTGGGCACACTTGTTAAAAATCAGTTGACCATATGTTTATTTCTGAACTCTCCATTCTATTCCATTAGTCTGTCTGTCTATATGTCTATTCTTACGCAAGTACCACACTGTCTTGATTACAGTAGCTTTGTACTAGGTCTTAAACCCAGGAAGTGTAAGTCTTCCAACTTTATTCTTCTTTCTCAAGATTGCTTTAGCTATTCTGAGTCCCTTGCATTTCTATATAAACTTTAGGATCAACTTGGCTGTTTCTATAAAAAAGAAGAAGAAAACTAAAAAAAAAAAAAAAAAAAAAAAAAAAAAAAAAAAAAAAAAAAGGGCAGTGACATATGCCAGTCAGCTTTTGCTTAATAATTACAACTATTTATTAGGAGCCCTTAGTTACAGAGTTAGGAACTCAGTGATATGAGTGTGAATCAGAGAGTACTTAAGCTTAAAAATTACCTCATCTCTTCAAACAACCACCAGGCACAGTAAGGGTAATCAATTTAGGAGGTCAAAATGCTCAGAGAGGCCAGGAATATCCTGACTCGACTGTCATCTTCTAGTCCCTCTGCCTTGCTGTCCTTACCAGCTTGGACTCTAGCAGAAGCCTGAGTCCGGGCCTGGGGCCTGTGAAATGGCTGGAGGACTTCCGGCAGGTCACTTTCTTCTCCAGCAGTCCAGGCCCCGCGTGCTCTCGAATCTTGAGAGGGCTCTGGTCCCTAAGTCCTACATCCCAGTGCTCGGAGACCCTGTAAATCCTCTGTGCACACACTCCAGCAGAAGCCTCCCCTCCTGTCAGAGGGCTTTGCAGGGACACTTGGAAGAAACAGCATTGCAAGGATCCTGGCTCTGATTCAAAGATTGCTGGCTTCTATAATAAGTCACAGACAGTTAAGCACTCTAATCCATAAGGGCAAAAGGCAAAATAAATAGATCACAGCAGTTTTTAATTGTATAAAAAAGAAATGTTGATCCATGTTGGAATGTCAGAGAACTCCACATTCCCACTGCTGCTTGGGACTCATGGGCCACACAGTTTACTTTCTGTAGCTGCAGTGTTCCAAGTGTCCTGGGCAGGGCTTCCTAGCAAATTAAACCTCTTGTACAGAGCCTTTTGCTACTGTCCTTTCTCAGGGAGTCACAGTACAATTCGCAGATGAACTTCCTGCTCTCAGAATCCTGAAGGAGTTCCACAGGTCTCTGGAACTGTCAAGGAGCTGGTAGGAGAGCTCTGTTGAAGGCACAGGTTTCCCGATGGTTTCTGAGACTCCATCCTGGTTGATTATGAGCACCGTAAAAGCACTGCTGACCCCTATGGCCTCAGTTTCCCTGGCTTTTGAGTGATTAAGTAACACCTGATGCAGGGATGAAAACCACTTGGGAGTCCCTGGCTGGACTATATCCCTCTCTGGGAATGGACACCTGCCTGGCTTCTGTGTGCTCACAATCCATTAGCTGAGCAGTGACCAGTCAGACCCTTTCTTTCTGGAATCAGGAGACCTACCCAAATTGCTGTCACTCAATGCCAGGTGCATGGCCTTGTGTGGATATGTCAAATGGCCACTGTGTGTGGGCCAAGGTTTGGAGAGCAGGTAACCTGAGTGAGCAGAAACCTTGGGTGTAAGGGAAAGTCAGAAGAAGAAAGAAAGGAAAATAAGCAAAGGGCAATGTCCATGCCCACCTTCCCCATGTGGCCCGGCTGGGCCTGCTGCAGAGACCAGGACCAGCCCAGGTGCGGGATGAGCCATAAAGGACATCGTCCTATGCAGCTCCTCCCTTTGCTACTTAGGGGGCAGGACCCAGGAGTACCCCAGGATCCAGGGGCACTTGGGCATGTCTGGGGGACGTTTTCAAGGCATTTTGCCTTTAAAAAAATAATAATTGCGGAGGCATTTTACCCTAGAATAGATTTATGCTTAATAAAAAAGAGTTTTCCTACAAAGAATTTTCGAGCTAAAACCGTGTCGGTATCCCCTTGGATTCTGGATTTCTAATTTACTAGCCCCACTGTGAGAAACAAGGAATCTGCCAGGCGTCTGATTCCACAGGTGAGAGGATGAAGCCAAGACAAGGGCCTTTCTCCTTTCCACCTTGCCCTCAGTTTTCTAATCTGAAAAACGAGATTGTGTGGTATCTCTGAGGCTGCGATGAAGATTAAGAAACTGAACAAAGCACTTAGCAAAGTGCTTTATAGACTGCCCTGTGAGGAATGGCTGTACTCATTACCATTCCCGGTCTCCGCCTCCCCAATCCCTCCGCCCTGCCTCCTCCCCTCTCCCCGCCCCCTCCGCCCTCCTCCCCTCTCCCCTCTCCCTCTCCCTCCCTCCTCTTCTTCCCTCCTCCCCTCTCCCCGCCCTCTCCCTCCCCCTCCCCCCTCCCTTTCCCTCCCTCCCCTTCTTCCCCCCTCCCCTCCCCCCCTGCCCTCCGCCCTCCGCCCGCCTCCGTCCCCTTCTCGTCCTTCTCCGGAAGCCGAAGCCGAGGCCGGTGGCGCGGGTCGGCGCGGAGCCCGGAGCCTCCGACGCCAGGACCGGTAACCACTCGCGGCCGCCGGCGGCCCAGCCGCCCCGACTCCGGCGCCGGGGCTCCCTCTCGCCGGGGCGGTGCCCTAACACCCCGCGAGCGGCCGGCACCGCGGCCTCGCCCCCTCCCGCCTCCCTTCCCCCGAATGTCGGTTTATGGGTATTTCTGGGCTTTTGAATGAGCTGCTTGAGTCTCTTTCACCCCAGCTTACGCGGGGCGGCGCGCGCGCCTCCTCCGGTAACCAACTCCGGCTCCGGCGCTGCCGCTGAACCTGGGAGGTTGGCTTTCCAGCCGCGTTCCCCCTGCAGGGTGTCTGCGGTGGCTCCCAGCTGGCAGAGAGCCGTCCCAGGCCTTTCAGACCTTCCTGGTCAGGGCCTGGCTAGCTGGAGGCCAGTGACCCGCAGAGGCCTCCACCCCAGGGACACAGCCTGCCACCTGCCCGCAGTGGCCGAGGGTTCTGCTGCTGGAGTTCACTCTGCCCTGCCCCAGCCCGTCTCTGGAAAACCTCTCCCCCTCTCAGAGGAGCCCTTCGCAAATGCCCCCCAGCCAGGGCAGCCTGTTTCCCTTGTATTCATCTGGCCCATCTCCACTCTGGAATAGGATCAGTCACAAGGATCAAGGATAACATCTTGTGCTTCAGAGGCCCCTTAGTCCAGTCCCTGCCTCTGTGCTTGGAGCGCCCACACACCAGTGGGACAGACTTGCTTGGTTTTCTTCCTCAACTTCATCACTCCCTGTGGCAGCTCCTTCGACTTCTGGGCTTATCTGTTTGGTTTATAAGACGTTGAACCTAATGATGTGTTTTCTCCGCGTGGTCTGAGAGTGCTGCCCTTGGGGTCATAGGACAGAATAGTCTGCCCCAGGCTGGTCAGCCCAGCTCCCAACACTGACATGTGCTGAGTCTGCTGTCAGGCCCGCTCCTTTGTTCCTTTGCATTTGTCCACATCCTTGAGAAAGTGCAGAACCCAGCCTGGCCTGTGTGGCTTGGTGGTTGAGTGTCGACCTATGAACCGGGAGGTCACGGTTCAATTCCTGGTCTGGAAACAATCACTGCATGTACCTGGTTGCAGGGTTGATCCTCGTGTGGGGCATGAAAGGGGCAGCTGATCAATGATTCTCATCATTGATGTTTCTATCTCTCCATCTCCCTTCCTCTCTGAAATCAAAAATATATTTAAAAAAGGAAAACAGAAAATGCAGAGCCAGTGGCCAGACATGATGTAGCCTGTCCTTATAGCTCTGGATGCGCACGTGCGCGAGGCCCCCCCCCTCCCCCCCCCTCAGCTCTGCCTGTGGCAGCTTCTTTGGCAGCGCCCTTCAGTCTGTCCTGTGAAGTGGTCAGGCAGGATCTCCCTCCTTATTCCAGGGTCCTGGGAGGGTCCCGGGCAGTTTGCATAACTATAACCATTGCCACAGTTACAGAAACTCCTCCCCTTATTGAAGGCACTGCTAGTCCCCGGTCCCTTCCCTGCTTCTTTTTGTAAAACATGGGGCCTGCTTTGCTTCCACCCTGACAGCACTTCCTCTACTCTTCTTGGATTAGGCTGAGAGGTGGAGCATTGGTTTCAACGAGGGCGACCAGCTGTCCTCGTTTGCCTGGTACTGAGAGGTTACCTGGGATGTAGGACTTTCAGTTTTAAAATTAGAAAAGTCCCAGGAAGACTAGGTGAGTTAGTCACCTCCCTCTTAACTCTGGCTGCATTGGAGCCTCATATAAGGAGCCTCTCATTTGAAGATTCTAGTTGAATCGACCCAGGTAGGGCATCATGTCAACGTATATTTTTTAACTTCTAAGTTGATTGTGACAAACTACCAGAGTTGAGAACCACTAGGTTATAGGTAACATGACTGACCATTGACTGTGGTTATTTTTGAGCAGAAGTGGGCACAAACATCTCTCGAAAGGGTGTGTGACCCAGTGTGGTGGTCCTCTCCTTATCAAAAGGGATGTCAAATGGCAGTCACTCTTTTTGCTATTATCTTTCCCCACCCACTGCTTTCTTCTTCACCAGCGAGGACCATGCCATCTTTCCCATTATGCTCTGGTATCCTCTTAGTAAGTCATGGAATTTCCTCATTTTGATTGGAGGGTTCATGATTTGCTTAGTCTCAGATGAAGCTAGCATGAGACTTGGGGCAGGGCTCCAGTATTTTGGTCCAATGAGTAGTGATCCAGGAGCTAGCTGAGGGAACAGTGTCCACCTTAGCTTTGCCCATGGGTTGCTGGAATGAGACCATGTGCCTTTGGACTATCTCCTCTGCAGGCCTTCAGGGTCATGTGGTACGTCAGCACCAGGGGGATGGCCCCCCACGTCGACTTTGAGGGTGCCCTCTTCTCTGGCTATGCGCCCGATGGGGGCCTCTTCATGCCTGAGGAGCTCCCGCAGCTGGGCAGGGAGACCCTGCGTCAGTGGAGTGTGCTCTCCTACCCAAGCCTGGTCGTGGAGCTGTGTGCTCTTTTCATTGGCCCAGAGCTCATCCCAAGAGATGACTTAAATGGTGAGCACCCCATCCCACTTCCACTCCCCTACCTCTGCCAGCCCAGGCCCCCGAGGGGTTGAAAATCTATCACTTCATCCCTAGGAGATCTTTAGTCACATTTCCCCAAATTTCGTGTTTCTTTCAAACTTTGGAATTTCAGAATTGGAAATATCCAGCTCTCCCCATCAGCCAAAATTATCTACAGAGAGATTTTTTTTCTCTTTAGATTATTTTAAAAACACCTTTTGAAGACTAACAGCTTGAATATTGAGATTTTCCTGTCCTGTACATAAGGCACACAGACCCTCAGCATACTGTTTTATTTCAAGAAGGGACTCAGTGTGTCTTGGACCAGCTGGTCTCAAACTATAAAGTGCTGTGGATTCCCCTCAGGCTCATTGAGATGCACATTCTGGTTCAGGAGGTCTGGGTGAGCCTTCCTATCCAGTGTCCAGGTAATGCCAGTGCTGTTGTTCTGTGGACCAGGTGTGCGACAGCATACCTCATGCTGAGAGTTTAGGAGAAGAGGGCCACTCAGAAGGTGGTTCGACAACCAACACCGATAACATTGCCCGAGCGCTTATTAGAATTCTTAAATTCCCTCAGACCTGCCGAACCAGAGTCTGCATTTTAAGATCCCAGGTGATCGGTTTGCCAGTGAAACTCGGATGTGTTCAGACTGCCTTGCCTCAGGTGGGCTTGTATGAACAGCCTCCCAAAGTTCTGGCTTCCCAGTGTGGTTTAATAATGCAGCAATCAGAGTGCTTTCTTTAGGAAGAAAAATGGAAAGAGATGAGACATTGATTTGTTTGTCACATAACTTTAATTGAATGTTATATCGGAATACATTCACAAAAAATCCAAATGATGAAGATGTTTATAAAATAGAAAATGAAAGTCTTGCACTACCATCTCTGCTCTCTGGGGGATTCTATGGGGGTTCTGTCAGCAGTGTGGTGCCTGCCTTTCCAGACTTCCTTTAGAATACATAATTATATTCATGTGTGGTATTGTTTAAGATAAAAATTTCTGCTCTTTTTATCTTGTAGCGGAGATAAAAACTTCAAATTAAAAATGTGAAGAGATTGAGAGAGACTAGAGGGAAGGCATAACAATGCTCTCTGTCTGCTGTACCTGCAGATCTGATCCAGCGGGCCTTCCGCAGGTTCCGCCACAGAGAAGTGGTCCATCTTTCCAGGCTGCGGGATGGGCTGAACGTGTTGGAGCTGTGGCATGGAGCCACATATGCGTTTAAGGACCTATCCCTGAGCTGCACGGCACAGTTCCTGCAGTACTTCCTGCAGAAGAGGGGGAAGCACGTCACTGTGGTTGTAGGTGCGTGTCCGCGTGAGCCCTGCAGCCCCTGAGTGCCCCGGCTTGCCGTTATCTTCCCACCACGTGTCCATGCTGTCTCTCAGGGTGTGTGTCACGGGTCTTCTAAAGCAGGGTTCTCAACCTTCCCTTGTGGCACAGCCCCCTTTCACGGTCTGGTGGAGGCTATGGAACCTTCTCAGAAGGATGTTTTTAAAGATATAGACTTCTTTTGCCGAAACCGGTTTGGCTCAGTGGTAGAGCGTCGGTCTGCGGACTGAAAGGTCCCAGGTTCAATTCCTGCCAAGGACATGTACATTGGTTGCGTGCACATCCCCGGCAGTGTTTCTTTCTCATCGATGTTTCTAGCTCTCTATCCCTCTCTCCTCCTCTCTGTAAAAAAATCAATAAAATATATTTAAAAAAAATAAAAATAAAGATATAGACTTCATAAGATTATATGGTTTAAGTCCACAGATGCTTTGAATTCTCTCCATGGGTCTCTTGGTGGTTCATGGTTTGCTACCCTTCGATATTGATGGTAGATGTTGTCTCATTTGGCAACAGTGCTTTAGGGGCATTTCCCCCTCTTTTATCTCCCTTATTCTAAAGGGGGTTCTTTCCCTTCCCATCCAGGAACTTCTGGAGACACAGGGAGTGCTGCCATTGAGAGTGTTCGAGAAGCAAAGAACGTGGGCATTATTGTTCTCCTGCCCCAGGGTCACTGCACAAAGATCCAGGAGCGGCAGATGACCACCGTGCTGGAGGAGAACGTCCATGTGTTTGGAGGGGAGTGTTGGGGCGGGGTCCAGGGCGGTGGCCTGTTTGGGAAGATGGGCTGGACCAAAGCTGGTTGTTCACTAGCAGACCATCCTTTCTCTGCCTCCCTCCGTTCCTTCCTGGATCAGTTATCTTTTGAGGTTAGTACTATGATTTGGCTTAGCTCTGGGCAGGCTCTTGGCTACAGTTTCATAAACTGTTGGAGGTGACAGGTGCATAAGGCCACATTCACAGTCAGGCTCGGAAGCGCAGATTTAAAATCACACCCTCAAGAGCACCACCTCCGTGCAGCCTGCCAGTGCCACGCGGCCATGTGTGTGCAGCAACCCAGAGCCAACCCCGAGCTGGTGGCCGGGGTCTTCCTCTCCCCCGGACACTGAAGTTTAGAGGACAAAACTGTGTTAAATAATTATTTTAAAAGAAAGCGCTATTACTTGTGGATTACTTATTTCCTCCTTATAGTATGGAAGTAACTACTCGTAAGCCATGCACCTGGTCAGCAGCCTGAGATTTAAAGCAGGCAGCCACTCTTCTGCATGCAGTCAGGACGTTCAGTAGATGACGTCCTGAAGCCACATCACAAACTAGCATTTTCGTGTTTTGTTTTTTTTCCTTTTTTCCCTTCACAAACTAGCATTTTGAAAAAGACATAAATCCATCTCCTCTAATATCAGGCCTTGTAATCCCAATAGGTTTCGTCTTTGTGGAGTAAGAGGGGATGAGCTTTTATTTTCATCTCAAACCCCACAAGATTTTAGGTAGCCCCGTCGTGGGGGTCTCGGTTAGGTTTTGTGTATTACGGCCTTGGCATCCTGGCTTGGTTTGGTCACTTCTCTGGCAGAGCAGCAAATGTGGAAGAAGACATTCCTTTTCTAGCTGGCCTGGTCCTGGCATAATCCCATAAAGGCTGTTTTTATATAACACCAAGATTTTAAAAAGCAAAACAAACCTTACCCATGGGAGTAGCATGATTATCCTCTGTCTATTTGTTCAAGATCTAGGAAAAAGCCCCTGTGCACTCTCTTTAACAAGGGCATCCACAGTCAGTGAGAAGTTCATGGTTCAGCTAATGCAGATATTGGCAAAATCTTACACATTAGTTTTGGTGATTGCCCATATTTAGCTGCATTTTCCTGCAGTCATTGCAAGATTTTAGTGCACAAGATCCAGATTCTCAAGGGTCCCAGTTGTACCCCAAGTACCAAAATTGCTAGTTGTAGAACTAGGACCATCTTTTCCTAGAATCAAAGCAAAGAGGAGAAGAGCTTTTTGAACCTCTGTCCTGTCATCTGCTCCCCCTCACTTTGTACAGATGCTGGAAGGCTTTTCCCTGAGGATATGCATGGAAGCTTCATTCCTGGTGTGAGTTGGAGAAGCTGCCCCTTGCAGAAGAAAGGCAGAAAGTGTCACTGAGCATTTGCTGGAGCCAAAGGGGCATTTCTGTGTGTACATGCTCTGAGCTTTAATAATATAAGGCAGCAGACTTTAAATTAGTTTTCATTTCTAGACACCACTGTTCAAGTTCTTTTCTTTCTAGAATCTGCCGATTTGGTTTCCAGGAGAATATGTGTAGTTCGGGAGCAGTAAATATTTATTTTATCTTAGAGAGGTGAGCTCAGGCAGTAGGGGTAGGTCACCTAAGTTGTTATGTGTTGGACACTTGTAATAATTTATATGGTTCTTCTTAAGCACAGAGTAATCAGCATGAGCTAGTTATATATTATTTGGGATGTTTTGGTGGGAAGCAACAGGAAATATAACTTAGACCAGCTTGAGCAAGGTTTTCCAGCTTATGTAACTGGAAGTCCAGAGGTGGGGTAGTCTCCTGATTGGTTGGTTCAATGACTCAGCAGTTCCTTCAGGGACACAGATTCTTTGCATTCTCTGTTCTGCTTTCCCCAATCTTAAGGCACATTCTTGTGTCCTTTGATGACTATGTGAGGTAAGCAAGTCTCTCTCTTCCCGTGACTTGCTTTTAAAAGCAGTGGATCTTTTCCTGAAATCGAAGCAAGATTCCCCTTGCACCTAGTTAGGTCATCCCCAGACCTCACTGCTGTGGTGCAATGATGGAGGTAGGACTGATAATAACCTCAGTGCAAGCCATGCCACTTCTCCAAATGTCCTTTAAGTTAGGATCCAATGGAGAATAGACCCAGGTTTCAGGTATGAGATCAATATTGGCCTGATTGGGTTGGAGAAAGCAAGTTAGACTAGTAGCCAGTTCATTCATATATTCACCCAATAAGTCATCCATAAATTAACCTCTGTACATACCCATCTCAGGGAGGAGTCCTGCCCATGCCAGCTTACCTACCAAGTAGGAGCAGAGAGCAGACCACCGACCTGTGATCTAGACGAGGGAGGGAGGAAAGGTGACTCTTCCCCTTTGAACTGCTGGTAAAGGATCAGCCTGTCCCTATCTCACTATCTGATAAGCCATTCCTTCTTCTCCTAGGGGAGGTGGGCACGAATACCAATGGGAAATTTTTTTCCAGTATTCCAGAGGTTGGTATTTTATATCTCAGTTTATATAATGGTAGAATCAGAATTATGACCACATGAACACGATACATGATTTCTAGCCTAGAGGAGCTTAATTTTGAGTGTAGAAAGCCAGACCAAGGGACATTAGAGTAGAGAAACCAAGGCCGAGCCAAAGTTCCATCTGGCAGCCTCAGCCTGGGAGGGCCTGTGGGCAGTGCTGATTACTTGGGGTGCTCTGCGCTCCTGACAGTTACTTTCTCCTCTCTCCCAACAGTGGAGGGAAACAGCGATGAGCTTGATGAACCTATCAAGGCTGTGTTTGCTGATGTGGCTTTTGTTAAGAAGCACAATCTGATGAGTCTGAATTCAATCAACTGGTCCCGGGTCCTCGTGCAAATGGCTCACCACTTCTTTGCTTACTTCCAGTGCGTGCCATCCTTAGATATGCACCCGCTCCCCACTGTGGAGGTGGTTGTGCCTACAGGGGCTGCTGGTAACCTTGCAGGTAAGGAGACCCTGGGCACAAATGGGCTTTGCAGAAATCATCTGTGGCCCCACCTCTTTCAAATGCCCTTTGCCTGCAGCCCTAAGAAAGATTGAGTCCTGGCTCTGAAGGGGATGGGAAACTGCAAAAGGAGCTTCCAAAACACTTCCCCCAACGCCCTGAGGGACCTCGGCACTTGCTACAGAGGAAGAGTGAAAGGTTGACCCTGACATCCTCTGGTCACCTGATCTGATGCCCAAACTTGGCAGAGTGTGGGGAGATGAAGTCAAGGTTCAGCCACATTCTGGCTCGTGGTGTCCTCTTCCAGAAATCTGGGCTTTCCTCCTGCCTCAGTGTTGCCTGCTGGAGGGCAAGCAGCTCCACTCGCACTGGGCTGCCCCTCTGAAAACACTGCTGGGAGGGTCGGGGGGAGTTCCAGACTTGGGTTCTGATTGATCAGTCCTTTGCTAGTTGAACAGCCATGGGTGGCCCTTCAGACCTGGCTTCTCAGATATGAAAGGGACAACAGGTCACTCATGTTTCAGGACAGCTATGAGGATGGTGAGATTGGTTTATATGCACATGACCTTTGTACAGCTGCATGATACTAAAATCATTTTCAATAATAATTAACATTGGGCACCAGCTTTTTTAGCAGGCATTTCTGTAAGTGCCTTTTAAGTATTAACTCATTTAATATCCACGTGTGCCCATGAGAAAGATGATACTGTTACTTCTGTTTTGTGTTGACACCAGGCACAGAGGTTAGTTGTCTCGTCCCTGCTTCCACATGGGTCGGTGGCAGTGTCAGTGCTGGGGCCAGGCTGTTCCAGTGCTCATGTCCTTGCCTGCTTGCTGGGCTACTTTCTGTGGGCATCACAGTCTCTGGTGGTTCTGTCGGGTGCCAATGGGTGGCTTAGGTGACCCTGCAGGCATCTTAGTGGTTAGGCAAGGATGCCTCAGCCTTCTTCACCACCCATGGGTCGAAGCTCGGCATGCTTCTTCCCCTCCGCTCACCCCACCGAATGGAGCCACCTGCAGTCACAGCCTGCTGGTGCCCAGTGCCTACCACAGTGCCTGGCACAAAATAAACATCAGCAGAGGGTGCTTCTCTCTCCCCCTTACCACTTAGGAATCAGCTTTACCTTAAGCAGCTCGACCTTCCGTTTCCCTTCTTTCACGGAAGTATATCATGGCATTTTCATAAGTAGCAAATGAAATAAGAATGTGAAAACACGTTGCAAAATTAAGAATGACATTGAGGTGGGTAGCTATCCTAACTTCTTAACTACTCACCAGAGACAAACCATTTGCAGAAGTATACAGGGGTGGGCAAAAGTAGGTGAACAGCTGTAATACAAATAAATAATACAATAAGTAATAGATAATACAAGAGTAAATTCTGTTTCGCATATTCACAACTGTAAACCTATTTTTCCCTTCCTGAATAGAACCTTCCTAAACTACGCTGCTATGGGGGCTCACTATCTCTCAGGGTGAGGAATCCCCCGTCTGTCTCTTGAAGACAGGACTCCGTGAGGGGCCCAGGGCGCTGCTGCTCCCTGCACCTGGAGGCGCTGCTCTAGAAGGGTGTCTGAGCACAAGCACATGTGTCTGGCTTAGGCCTAGTTTGAATCTTCACTCTGCCACTCAGCAGGTTTTGGAGGCTTCCAGAACCTCCATTATCTTTTCTGCAAATGGTAGTGAGGGTGTCAGTGCCTGGGGTGTGTGTGGGGGGGCGGGGGGGTTGCGGGGCAGGGCATTCTCCTCTTTCTCTTCCCTTCTCTCTCTTTTTTTTTTTTGGTAACAGCTTATTGCTGTGTGAGTCACATACTGGTACCATATAACTCACTGATTTAAAGTATATTATTCAATAGCTTTTAGTATATTTAAAGATTTATACAACCATTACTACTATCAATTTTAGAACATTTCCTCACCCTTAAAGGAAACCCTGTCCTATAAATAGTCATGCCCTAGCCCCTTTTCTCCCAGCTCTAGCATCTGTCAGTCTATTTCATCTCTGTTGGCCTATACTGCAAATTTTATCTAAGTGAAATTACACAATATGTGGCCTTTGGTGTCTGTCTTCTTTCACTTAGTATAATGTCTCCAACATTCCTCTGTGTTGATACATCGATCAGTACTTCATTTCTTTTTATGTCTAAACTAGAGGCCTGGTGCATGAAATTTGTGCACAGTGTGGTCCCTAGACCTGGTTGGCGATCGAAATGTGAGCATCTGGTGGGGAAGGGCAGGTCCAAGCTGACCTCTGGGCCCGGGGCAACATCTGGGTCCCCAGCCCTGCTCCCCCAGCCTGAGTCACGCACCTGAGTTCCCACGCAGAGATGCAGTGAGTGCAGCCCAGCTTACCTGGAAGAGGCTGCACGGGTGCGGGGTGGGCTCCTGGCAGGTGCCCAAATCCTGGGCATGGGGGCTTCCACAGTGTGCAAGCCCTAGCGTCCTGGGGGAGAGTGAGCTTGGCGGACACCCCACATTCTCACTGCACCTCTGTCCCCATCATTCCACCCCCAGGTTGCTGGCGAGAGGTCACAGCCCTCCCCCTCCCCAGCCAGGCATCTCGGGAGGTTGGTCGCTGCCACACACCCCCAGTTCCCTGTCCCAGCCCAGGGCCCAGCCCTGATTGGATGATTAGGGTCTGCTGGCTGCTGATTGCAATCTGCGGAGCAATCAGTGGGGTGATCACGCCTCGCTTACATCCCCCTTGGCCTGGAGCCGCCCACTTACCTGCTTCACCATCTCGCTGTGGTCCGGCTCTCGTCAGGGTCCATCAGGGCCAGCATCGCCTCCAGTGCCGCCTGTTGCCAATGCTGCAACGCCGATGCCCACCATGTTCCATGCCACCCTCTGGTAGTCAGTGCACATCATAGTGAACGTTGGAACTCACGATCGAACTCCCAGTCAAGGGGACAATTTGCATACTAGGCTTTTATTATGTAGGATAATACCCCACTGTATGGATAGGTCACAATTTTGTTTATCCATTTATCAATTGGACTTTTGGATTGTTTTTATTTTTTTAGCTATTATGAATAATGCTGCTATGAACAGTTATGTAAAAGTTTTTGTGTAAATTTGTGTTTATTTATCTTGAGTGTTATACCTAGGAGTGAATTTCTGGGTCATGTGGTAACTCTATGCTTAATTTTTTGAGACTGTTTTCCAGAGTGGCTACACCATTTCACATTCTCACTAGCAGTATATGAGGGTTCCAGTTAATTCACGTCCTGAGTAAGACATGGAATTATCTGTTTTGTTCTATTCTAGCCATCCGAGTGGTATGAAGTGGTATGTCATTTTAGTGTTGTTTTGCACTTTTCCTGAAGATGTGATATTGAGCGACTTTTGTATATCTTTGGAGAAATGTCTATTCAAGTCCTTTTCTTATTCTTAAATTGGATCATTTGTATTTTTATTGTTGGGTTGTAAGTGTTTATACATTCTGGACATAAGTCTCTTATAAGATGCATGATTTGCAAATAGCTTTTCCATTCAGGGTTGTCTTTTCATTTTCTTAATAGTGCCCTTTAAAGCATAAAAACTTCAACAAAAAAAACCCCAGAAGTTTCATAATTTTGATAAAGTACAATTTACAATTTTTTGTTTTGTGTGTGCTCTTGAAGTTGTGTCTGAGAAGCCGTGGTTGTTCTCCTCTCTTGTCTTAAGCTGGGTGCATCGCTCAGAAGATGGGCCTGCCCATCCACCTGGTCGCAGCAGTGAACTGCAATGATATCATTCATAGGACTGTTCAGCAAGGAGACTTCTCTCTGTCTGAGGCTGTCAAGCCAACCTTTGCATCAGCTATGGACATCCAGGTGGGGCCTGTGGGGAAGCATGCAGTCAGGTGTTGGGCTGGTGGGCTGGACAGGGCTGAGATCAGAGTAATCCCCCGCCCCCGGCTCATCCTTCTGTGCAGGTGCCCTACAACATGGAGCGGATTTTCTGGCTGCTCTCTGGCTCTGACTGCCAGATGACAAGAGGCCTCATGGAGCAGTTTGAAAGGACCCAGAATGTGAGGCTGCCTGAGAAACTGCAAAGCAAGGTCAGGAACTACTCACACCACAGAGAAAGGAAAGAATGCAGCCCCAAGACACAACTAAAACTTGGGGTTTGAAAATCTGTTCAAGGGATGGAGACCTGTTTCTTGAACACCTGCTCTGAGCCTGGCACTTTGCAGGCACTTTATATGGATGCATTTATTGAATGTGGAGAGGCAGTGGAGAGTGCTGGGTTAGAGTCAGACAGGACCCAGTTTCTCAAACTCAGTGCCTCCGTTTTTTTACTTGCATATTGGGGATGATAAGAATGCCTATGCTACAGCCTTAAAGATTTAATACAAATAATATGAAATATTTTGAATACTGCTAGGCAATATAGGGCTTGATATATTAACTGTTACTATTTTAATTTTTATTGCTAATTTCCAGTAGTCTCAACTGGAAGTCACTTTGTCCATCTAGTATGAGCAGAGACCACTGTCCTGTTAGCTTTATTTTATTTTATTTTATTTTATTTTATTTTATTTTATTTTATTTTATTTTATTTTATTTATTTTTAAAATATATTTTATTGATTTTTTACAGAGAGGAAGGGATTGGGAAAGGGATAGAGAGAAATCGATAAGAGAGAAACATCGATTCCCCACTGGGGATGTGCCCACAACCAAGATACATGCCCTTGACAAGAATCGAATGTGGAACCCTTCAGTCCACAGGCCGACACTATCCACTGGGCCAAACCAGTTAGAGCATGTTCACTTTATTTTAAAAGGAGGTGCAATTTTATCTCCTCAGAGTGAAAGGAATCTAGTTGGTAACGATTGCTTTCATTTTAATGTCACCTTGATGATGTTCACTTTTTTAATATAAAAAAATAAGATTTTTGTATGTTGAAGCTGCGTTTAGTTTTCTCTTCCACATTCCCACCAAGTGGTCATCTGGACTCTGTCCCCAGGGACCAGGGCCTCACCACCTCATACCAGTTCAAGCATTGCATAGTTCGTGTTGAGTGGAAGCTCTGTCTTATGTGACATTTGAGTGGTCACTGTCCATCTTAAAGGGTTGGTCCCAGAACTAGAAACAGTTCTCTGGGCTTAGCCACCCATGTAGAGCAGAATGGAATTTCCTTCTTCGGAATCTGTGCTGCTTTCGATGTAACCTGCCTTAATCAGTCTGGGCTGCTATATCAAAGTGCCATGGACTGTGTGGCTTATAAACAAAGCGAATTCATTTTTCACAGTTATGGAGAGAGGCTGAAACTCTGAGGTCAGCATAAATGGGTTCTGCTGAGCCTTCTGCAAGGTTGCATGTGGTGCCTTGTACCCTCACACAGGAGAAAAGAGACTTAGCCAGATCTCTGCTCTCTTTTTATCAAGGCACTAATTCCATTCCTGAGGACTTTAACCTCATGACCTAAATACCTCCCAAAAGCCCACCCCCTAATGCCATCACATTTTTAGCATATGAAATTGGGACGGCACACATTCAGACCGTAACACAGCTTGCTAGGTTAATGGCTGGTTTTGACCTCCACTTTCCTTCTCCTCGTGTGAATGAGGTGCTGCAGGAGCACAGACACAGTATCCACCAGTTCTTTGTTCTCTCCCTGTCTATGCATGCAGAAGAGACTTCATTGCTAGAATAGCATTCATTCATTCATCCCATATATATTATGAGCCAGAGACTGTGCATGGTGCTGGAGATAACAATACAATTAAAATGCACTCATTGTCTTCCATGAGCCCTAATGGGAGAAGTTTATAACACCCTTTGGTTTCTGTTGCCATCGAGTGTATACAGGATGTTTGGCACATCGTAGGCCTGCAATAACTTTTCAGAGAATGAGCAAATAAGCCATCCACCAGGGGACACCAAGAAGGGGGGTGTTCTCTGCCTGGGGTGGTGGGGAGGTTTCCCAGAGGAGCTGCTGCTGAGCCAGGTGGAAACATACAGGAAGGGCTCTTGTGCCCACAGGGCCAGGGCACCAACCACACAACACGGAGTGTTTGGATGCCCTTAACTTCTGTGTTCTTGAGGTTATTGAACCAGACTCTATATTTGCTGATTCATAAGCCAAATCCTAAGTTTATTGGCCTGGAAGTCAAATGCATCCTTTCTTCAAGTTGAGTGAGTCAGCTTATAACTGGGAGATGTGGGAAAACGGATTTTCCTCTGAGCTGAATCTAAGCCATTCCATCTGGACTGAGACTCTTATCATTTAGTGTGGTGGTGTTTTGTTTTTTTGTGTGTTTTTTTTAAAATACATTTTATTGATTTTGTACAAAGAGGAAGTGAGAGAGATAGAGAGTTAGAAACATTGATGAGAGAGAATCATCGATCAGCTGCCTCTCGCACACCCCCCTCTGGGGATATGCCTGCAACCAAGGTACATGCCCTTGACTGGAATCAAACCTGGGACCCTTCAGTCCCCAAGTCAACGCTCTATCCATTAAGTCAAACCGGTTTCGGCTAGTGTGGTTGTTTTTTTTTTTTGGTCACCTTTCTTCTTGCTTTCCCTAACCTTGATTACCACGCCCCTGGGACCATCAGCTTTCAGCGGCGGTGACATCTGAGTCAGTGTCAGACGAGACCATCCTGCAGACCATGGCCCGCTGCTGGGAAGAGAACCAGTCCTTGCTGTGCCCTCACACGGCCGTGGCCGTGAGCTACCATTACCAGCAGATGCTCAGGCAGACCCCCAGGTACGGCTGTGGGCACCAGGTCACTGAGCAAGCGGGGGAAGCTTTGGCTTTCAGGGACCCTCTTCTTCCCCAAGCAGGGAACACGGGAATGTGAACAAATGGCTTGAATGAGCATAATGGGTGATCTGTGGAACTGGGCCTCGAGAACCGTGGTCTTAGAAGAGGGAACATGATAGGTGTCCAGGACAGCCCACATGGGCCTTCCACAGGAAAAAGCAATTTGCTCAGCAGTCATTGTAGAGACAAGTTTAAGGTCTGTCTCTCTCTTTTTCCTCTGTGTCCCACACTCCTCCTCCTAATCATCTCTGTTCCTTCTCCTTCCCCTCCCCTTACCGTACCTGTCCCTCCATCTGTTGTCTCCCACATATTTGTTTCCACCCGCCCTACCCCTGTAGCCCTCCCCGGTGTTGTCTGGCCCCTGCCTCTGCAGCCAAGTTTCCAGAAGCTGTCGTGGCTGCTGGACTGAGCCCAGAAACTCCGGCGGAGATCCTAGCCCTGGAGGGAAAGGAGACGCGCTGCACCCCGATGCGGAAGAGTGACGACTGGACTGTGATGCTCCGGGACACAATTGAGGACATGGGTCGGCGGTGGAGGGCCACGTCCTGAGTGCTCCCAAAGAGCCCGGCTGCAGCTGGCTTCCTTTGGGCTTCAGACCCCAGGGTGGGGCGGGGGTGCCCTCGGAGCTTCCTTCTCCCTGTTGAGTTGATGTGGAAGGTTCTCAGGAGGCTTCTCAGTGGGGTCTGGAGCCAGCTGGCTTTGCTCATTCCCACAGCTGCTCTGTGCTCTCGCCAGGTGGGGTGGTCCTCGTCAGCGGGGCTGCATAGGGCTGCGCATGGTTGCTGGAGGTGCACCCCCCGCCAGGACAGCACAGGGCCTGCAGATGAAGATCCTAGGCACAGAGCTGACCTTGGCCCAGGGTCTGGAACCCCAGACCCTAAGCCTGTGCAGGCAGGGCTGCCCACTCCATTAACACAAGCCTGGGGCTCCGCTGTCTGCACCTGTTTACCTAGAGATACCAGCTGGCCTTCCCACCCTGCCGAAGTATTGGAATCCTGAGAATACAAGTGCATGTCCAGTGTGATGGTCACTGTGCTGGCCTGTGGCCGAGGACTTGGCTGCCAGGGGTGGTAGTGGTACGTGGTATGTGCTACATCCCTCATCTGCTTTTCATTGGCCCAGCGTTGAGGGGTAGCAAAGCAGTCATTGGCAGGTGGCACAGGTGGCTGGAAAGTTGAGATGTGGGATCACCAGGTGGAAGCCATGTGGGAAAGCGCTCCTCAGGTACAGACTGAGAACCGGTACAAATACTGGTTCACCTGCTTTATTAGCCCAGGGCAGGTGCCAGGGCAGCAAGAAGCAGGGATCCCTCACTGAGCACTGAGTAAAGTCCAGACGCCTGCATTTCCATGGGGCACCCCAGAGAAGTCAGATCCTCCTCTGAGCACATGACTTTGCTCTCCCCTGCCCATGCCTCTCACACTGCACTGGCCTCTGGGAGCCCATCCTCGGATGAGGCCACAGAAACTCCACGGGCTGCTGGAGGGTCGGTCCTGTGTCCTGTCCATCGTCAGCCCAACTGGAAATGTTGACTCCTGTACCTGACAGCGAGGACTTTGCTTACAAATGGTGTTCTCCCACTGGCAGAGTGCTCCCTCTCACAAAGGCGTGCCTGGTCCCTCTGCTGTTTTACCATCTGGCCTTGCACTGTCCAGTTCGGTAACCACTGGTCACATGTGGCCGTTGAGTACTTGAAATAGGAATAAGTATAACTAAGGAATTAAATTTTAAATTTTATTTAATGTTTAAGTAATTTGCATTTAAACACTATTATTTGTATCAGTTATTGGAAAACTTGGCAGTGTGGTTGGGAAATACTGGTATGTGAATCTGCTTTTCAGCTGTAAATTTTATGAAGTCCATAAAGTACAGATGGTATTTCCAATAAAATTAGTTGGAAAATACATATGGAACTTCAATACTTGGAATGAAAAATATCAAAAAATTTTCATTAATAATTTTATATTGATTACATGTTGATAATATTTTGATGCTTTGATTTAAATAAAACATTAAATCAATTTTATCGGGTTTCACTTATAATGTCATTTGAAGTTATACATGTGGCTCACCTTTGGCTCACCCTGTACTTATGAGCAGTGATCTGGAGCTCAGCTTTGGCTTTGTGCACACATGAACACACCACACATAGTTAGGGTTTAGTTCTATTACTGGATTCAAATCCTGTGTTGATTGAGGGGGGTTTATGCAAACACAAATACATAAATGTCAGCCCAAGCCTCAGTCATGCCCTGGACTGTGGGGGTCCCCTGAGAGGCAGGTGAGGCAGGCACCGCGTGGAGGTGCTAAGAGAGGCCGCTGTTGGTACCACTCTGAGGGTCGCTGTGAAAGGACCCAGTGGGTATCTGGCCTCCACTGGGTCTAAATGAATCAGTCACTCAGGCTAATCTCTGCATGCCATCCCCGCATCAAACAAGCCTCCTGCATCCCCATGTGCCCAGGGATGGAAGGGAGAATTCAGAGGCTACCCTTGTGCTGGGAAATTTGGCATCACAGCATGGCATTCAGTACAACCATTCTGGATACACGGGAGGATGGGAAGCATCCCTGAAGGATGACTGACCCTATAGCACAGCACTGTTAGTCCCCAAGACACTTGAACATCCCCAACAGCATGCATGATGAATCCACCAGCACAAGAGGCCTGGAGCTTTGTGTCACGATGCATTTAGAGGTCATAAAAGTGCTTTCACTGCTTTCAAAGGAAAAGCAGACATGCCCAGGGCCCACAGATGGAATGATGTGGCACTGAGAGCACCTACTATCTGACAAGCAATACTTGACAAAATTTATTTTAATGCTGACAGCAACCTGTGGAGTAGGCGTTACTATTGTTTACATTTTAGAAAGGAGACTGAGGAGCTGAGGTAAGGGGCCTGGCCAAGGTGGCACCACCAGGGAGCAAAGGTTGGACTTGAGCTAGGCATGTGACTTCAAACCCACTGTGTAGTTTTCATCACACCATGTCACAGGGAGCTGGCCGCCTTCTGCTGCAGTCTGCTCTCTGCATCCTTCCCCAGGCCATGGCCCTTTTTGTTGGTGGACCCAGGAGCACGGCAGTGCTTCTCTGAGGGCCCCACCAGGGGCTGCTGCAGCCCTGCCTTCCGGGGCTCTGTGACCTGCACCCAAGCCACCCGCTCCTTTGCTCCATTTTCTGAGGGCCTCAGGTCAGTGTGAGGGCCACAAGGGTTACCAAATCCCCTGTCCGCTTTGTAGTTCAGAGACCTAGCAGCTCTGAGAGGCCACCACACCTGTGAAAGGGGACCAAAACAGAGCCTTTGGACACAGCACAAATAGACATGAAATGTGAACTATAGGATATTCTGGCCATAGCGGTCTTGGAGCTAAATGTGGAAGAAGGACAGGAGTAAGATGAAATCTGAAGAAGTACCCATCCATGCAAACATACACCCAGGCACACACACACGTCCCACTCAACTGAAGAAGGCAGAAGCCTCATATAACTGAAGTCAGAACCAGGTTGAAGTTGTCCTCTCATTCACTCACTGCTGATGCCATCACCAGCATTCACCTCCATGAGCCTCAGTTTCCCCGCCTACTAATTACAGTACAATAGTTAACCTTGCTGGTTTGTTCTGAGAATTACATAAGGTAATGCATTCCCAAGTGCTGGCTCAATGCTAAAATGCCATACAAATGATTATTAGCACAATTTTTTGATTATTAGCACAATTATAGTCTGCATCCATCAGTTTAATACTTTTAAGCTATCTTGTATATTTTGCTAATTGCTTCAAGAAATAGTTTTATCTTGCCAGTGAGATTGCCACTTCCCAGAAGACAGAATTGTGTGTGGCCTCAGAGTGCCAGCACAGCTTGACGCAGGGCTGGCGTGGCCATCACGGAGCCCTCGTGCCTGGCAACAAGCTCTGAGAGGGCTGCTGGGGGTGAGGGCCACGGGTTAGGCAGTGGTGGCTCTGCCAGAGGTTAACAGGCCTTGTTAATTGCAACGATGATGGCGGAACGGTTCCCTTTCCTGAGCACTAGTATGCTGAGCCCGTTAAAGCACTCTCCTGACATAGACTCTCTCTCAATCCCCATGAGGACTGTATGAAAAACATGACTAGAATCCCCATTTAGATGCAAGGAAAGGAAGTCAGAGACATTAAGGAACGTGCCCAAGACCACCCAGCCGGTAAGTGACTGAGGAGATACATGAGGCTGGGTGTAGGTCTCTGAGCTTAACCATGTTCTAGACCAGGAGAGGTGCTTTGGTTCAGATGGCCTCAAAGCCTTCCAATCAGAGTCTGCAGGTGAGGCAGGGAGCTGACCACGTCTGAGGTGGGGAGAAGAGGGCCCAACATTAGGAGGTGGACCTGCTGCTCTGTGTAGGGGCACAGGCTGGTACCTTTGCAGGGAGCTTTTCTCTGGTGGGGGCTCTCCCTTGGAGCTGGGTTCCTCACTGGGGCTGGCTGGGCACTGGTGTCTGCTGCATGGAGTGGGAGTTAGAGTACAGAGCAGATTTAGAGCTGTTCTGTGGGATTCCAGCTGCTGGCAAGGGGGGTAAGCCCAGTCGGCCCCACTGGGAAGACTCAGAAATTAGCTGGATGAGCCAGGAAAACTTCTGTGTCCCTGAATAAACAAAAGGCGAGCAACACCGACAAGGCTGGGCCATTAGCCTCCTGGAAAGAGAAGAGGACCTTTTGCTGTCCTTCCTGCTGCCTTTGCCCAAAAGAACATCTTCCATGATCTTGCCTTTCAGGCCATCGATTTCACAACCGGGGTGCCTCCTGGGTGCCAGGGCCTGGGCAAATGCCGAGAAGAAGTGTGGTGGCTTCCCACCAAGTGCTGGGCACTACATTGGATATCAAGGGATAGACAAAAAAGTGGGGGAAGATGTGGCTAGAGTTGATGAGAGGGTACATGTCTTGGACAACACGCTGGTGCTGCTCCAGGACTCTAAGCAACTGATTCTTGAATGCAAGAGCCCAGTAAGCCCTCCTTTGGCCCCTCGTCCCCGCCCCACTTCAGCAGTGACCCACAGAGTCCTCGTGTTTGGTTTAGGATCTGCTTTCCCACTCCTTACACATTCCTTAAAGTCTGCTGTCGAATACCCCCATCCCAGCATCTAGCCAGGAAACCCAGCCTTCGGCGAGTGTGGTTCTTAAGATGGTTGACTGGGATGGAGCTGACGGAGGAGCTGCCAGGAGGAAATCTAACTGGGCGAGAGGGAGGTAGTGGCTGAAGAAGGCCAGACTGGGTGTTCAAGAGTCCGCTGGGTGCCTGGGCCCCAGGTTCAGCACTGTTCCCCGATGGTCTGGTCATCACAGAGGTCTCTCATAAGCTAGTGCCCTGGAGGAGGCTGGACCTCCTGGAACAGAATAGCGTGCACATAGGGCCAGGTTCCTCAGCTCTGAGTGGAAGCTCAGGACAAGGCCCTGTAACAGGTACAGAACCCAGGCCTGTGGCAGTGTTCCAAATCTCACCCCCCCCCGCCCCCCCCCCCCCCCCCGCCCCGAATCTCAACCCCTGGAACCTCCCCACGATTGGCCGCTAGGGGGACACAG